AACCTCACCGTGTCAGAGTAAATCGGTCCAAATGAAAGAACTCAAACGAATGATCCGTGCGGGAAAACCAAGTTACGAACAAATTCATAGTTGGGGACATTCGTTTGAAACTCTGCTAAATGATCGATGTGAGTGACCCCCGGGAATTTTAATCCTTGTTCTATTTCGCAGCGCTGAGACAACAACTTTTTTATTCCTATTCTTAGTTCACATGGATGCCGATATTTCTCTTACAATCAATTTAATTTTGTGTTGGTGCAAGAAGGAGCATGGATGGAGAAACAGAGTTGCAAAAACATTTGTAAGATTTTATTGTATCGTGCAACATATATTACTGCATTCAAAACCGTAATATTGTAGCTATTCATTTACACTCACGTCCAAAATATCAAAACTCAATTGCTCCATGAAACCTGCATGAAAATGAAATAAAAAAGGCATGATAATTGATTCGTTTAGGAAAACACATTAAAACTATACTTACAGAACAATTTTTATAACCGAAATTCCTGCCACAGATGCGCTTCTTTCCACGTTCATAAAATACTGTAATTTAAACGAAATGCCTGCTTTCAAATTTTGCAGTTAAAAATAAATAACCCTCTTCCATCTTCATTCCTTATACTGAATACACCATGAGACACTATTCAGGAAGGCAGAAGCGGCACAATCAGAAGGCTGTCGTGCAATACAGAAAATGGTAAAGATTAGGCGGTGGTGATGTGATGTTAGTCCACGTCCTACGGGCTGATAAGCTAGTGACCTTTACAGCTCGATGTAGAAAGACACGCATTCATAGAGGTCGTACAATGTGGCCGCATAATGTTTCTGTGTTAGTACGCTTAAAGAGCATCTCTTAAGTATAATTATACAATACTAAACTTTCACTAATACTTTCAAAACACAGGCTTGCATTTTCGGATGTTGCCAACGTATGCAACGTCCCTGGCATCATGGCGTGAAATAAAAATAAAACTAGAAGAAACTGTGTAAAACTTGGCCATTTTCATTTATCCATTAGTAAACGGGAGAGTGTCTTTAGTAAAAATAGCGGTTATGTAATGTCACGATGTCTTTGATGTCAGTTGTACAAACTATGTATCTCAAGGTAACCATGTACTTAGAGCCTATCACGAGGCTAAAATTGATCATCCATTGCTCTCTTCTCATACATACGTGTAGAAAAATGGAGCGCTCACCAATGAATTTTATTTGTTGTGCAGGTAGGTTTGTGAACCTCTGATCATTGTTTTCCGTTAAACATCATCAGCGCAAATCAAATCTGATTTGAAAAGGGGCACACCAAGTAACTAACCTTGTTAATCAATCATCGTTGGGGCACAAACGAGCGAGAGATACAGAAAAATTGTTTACTTTTATAAACCGTGATTAAATTTTCCACACAAACTGACTGTGACTCGGTGCACGTTTGCAGAATACATGACAATCGTTCTTCATTGGGAATTTTATGGGGTGATTGCGAAGTTATTGCAACGTGGTACTACGAATATCAGTGNTAACTGCGCTAAACGAAATACGATATAAAATGGACTGGACAAATAAATCGAACATAAATACAGAACTAAGTAAGCACTTTCTTTATCCGAGTTCAGTATCACCAAGAGAACAGGTTCATTGTCTTCGAAACTAACAATAAGAGCTGTGCTGCTCATTGGTTCGGCCTAAAATGTT